ACAAATCTTGTTTAAATATAAACGTAAGTGACCATATCTTATGAATCTTGAAATCAATGATCAAAAGTGTACAAAACTAAAAGATAAGTGACTAACCATGAAGTTAACCCTTTTATAAACAGAAGGGGAGAGAATGCTATAGTGCTTCACCGGGAAAGAGACAATCAATTTCCGTCGTCGTCCTCCTTCGTTCTCTAGTGGCCATTCAACGACAAAATTCAAGGGAAGGTTCATCTCGACACCAGAAGCTTAGATCCGATCTTGGTTTGTGGAAAATCAACCCCGAGCTTCACGAATCAGTCAAAAACCATTTGATTTTTCCACTCTCTGATCTCCTCATCCGACCGTTGGATCGACTACGTTTTAAAGTAGGTTGGTCCATTCACATATGTGCATCTCTTCACCGTTCGGATCTATTGTCTGATCACCAGAGCTACTGCCGTCGAAGATCTAACGGTATGCTTCTCTCTTTTGTTATTTCATCTTTTTTTTCTTGATTACTACTATTGTTGTTCGTGTTCTCTCATTCTTTTTTTATTCTAATTGCGGTTGTTTTTGTCCGTGCTCTCGACTTTTTTGTTGATTTTTTTTGAATCTCTGATCTAATCATTTAAAATTGGTGAGGGTGATGGTTTGGTAGAGCTATGGTGATAGGGGAAGAAGGGTGGCTCTCAGGATTTTTCGAGGAGTGGTTGATTTGTTAGATTTTTGTTTGTTTTATTGATTTGTCATGATTTTGGTTGATTTTACGGGGAGTGACTTCAGATGAGGTGGTAGTGGCACGACTTCATCGGTGATGATGGTAGCGAGAGTGGCTCGATCTAGGGTTTCGTTTTAGGTTTAGGTTAGGTTTGATTTGGTTTTAAGTTGTTGGGTCGATTGGTTGATGGGCCAATCTATTGCTTGTGGGTCGATTTGATGTAAACTATAAAATAAAATTAATATATATGTAATAATAATATTAATAATAAAAATAATAATTATAAAATAAATTATTAAAAACATCTAGACGGAAATTGGTGTCAAGTATTATTCTCTCTAAAAATCTCAAATTCAAACAGTTATATCTATAAAATGTGTGTATTGTCAATTATTAACAAAAGTTCTGAATAAATACTATCTTAGAATTATATCAAACTAATCAAAATAATAATAATAACAAAACTTAACGTTGGTTCCATTATCTTATACTTAATCTATGTGTAATCTAAATTAAAAAAACAAATATGCTAGCATTTGAGTGCAACGTATAGGTATTCAAATGGCTAAATAAACTATCGTTGAATTAACTGAATTTTTTCTTTAACTATTAGTCGAACTAAATTATTTGAAAATATTAATCAAATCAAATAAAGTTAGGTTAATTTGTTTTAGTTAGATTAATTTAAGTTTAATTGAAGGTTTTTTATTTAAGTTAAAATTAAGCAGTTCTTAATAATTTAATAGGTATAGTATGCTTAAAAAAATAATTTGGTTCGAATTCTTAATGTGTTTTAACTTAAAATATAAATATTATATATATTTAATATTTAATATTTTCGATTAATTCAGTTAATTAACCGATTTTAAATCGAATAAACCGTTAGCTAAATATTGTAAGAGAAAAATAATTTTTTCCCATTCGAATTAATTCGATGGTCGGTCATTTTTACCAAACTAATTTAGTTCGATCAATTAATTCGAAGTAACATGTATAGATAGGTTTTAATTATATATCTTTTAGAATTAAATTCGTGATAGACTCACTTTATGATTATTTCCACTTTATTATTATAATTATTTTAAAAATTAAAAATTATATTGTAATTACATTGAATTTTGATATAAAAAATTAAAATTATACTAATTTAATAAATAAAATAAGAATAATCCAACTGAATTTCATCTGAAAGACAACATTTTGGCCCAATGTCCCGTTTTATTGGGCCTTCAATTCTTGATCCAAACTTTGGAACGCAGTGGACTATTTCTTATGTATAATTTTTGGATCAATTTATATTCAACTAGAAAATGAGCAAAGGTTTACGTATGAAGATTCCAATGGGTTAAATATCCTTAATAATGTTTAATTTTCTAATATTATATATTTTTTTTTTCCAATTTAATAACTATTTCTTTGTTCTTGATATGAGATTGTGTAGGGTCAATCAACAATTAATTTTATTTAAATTGTTTATTTTAATTTTATTAGATGTGTGCAGAACCCATTACATGTTAAAAATCAACGACGTTTATGGAGTGGCCACAAAGTAGCAGGAAATCGAAAAGTGAAAATAAGAAAAGAAAAAAAAATCAACTAGCGATCCACTCGTTCGATAAGCAGATAATTTATATTTTTTTAACCTGAAATTTATCTAAATTGGGACGAGATGTACGAAAGGATATGGATCTTGATTTTGATTTGATTATAGTCATCCTTAACCAATTAACTGCCCATGCAGGTGACTCTGATTTTTATTTTGGGAGAACTACTTTCTCTTTTCAACCATACATGGCAATTCAAGGTGCAAATGGAGATATCTCAATTCAAGTTTGCGTTGCATTCACCAAGAAACCCTTGGTTTTAGTTTTCTCGTCGAAGGTCCACTTTCTAGAGACAAATTCGAAGCACATGAAGCTTAAGAAATCTTAATTTCGATGTTCCTTTAATCATCTTTTGTATTAAAATAAATGTATCACTCTAATCTCAACCTAACTAATACTACATTAATAGCATGTTCGTGGTGGAAGGTGGATTATGTATCACTCTAATCTCAAAAACTTGAGTATCACGCGAAATCTTCAAAGTGATTAATTTTTTTCATTTGAAACCATACATTCAGCTTTTTAAAATAATTATATAAGATATAAAAACATAACATTTTATAAAAGTTCTGCTCCTTGTTTGAAAATCCAATATATAAATGTATAAATAAGATATTACAACTTTACTCGGTTACGAACTATAACATCTATATGCTCACTAAGTTATCGTCATTGCAATCTGGTACTCATGTTGAGACTCATTTGATAACATCGTTGTCCTATTGCAGTACTCCACAAAAAAGTGTAACTTATAAACACAGGTACATTTCGAATGTTGAGTTAACAAGCTTAACACCACACAAATAATTCTACTACACTATATGCATTCATAAAATAAGTATGTTGACGAGTATAATCAAAGATAAAATGTCATCTATCCAATGCATATCCACACAATAAAACATTAAGAATGAGGTTCGAGTCACGTAGCTCGAACACCTATCACAACACACAACAAGAAATTATGATATAGTCCATACTCACATGTGCATCGTGAGACTCACTCTCCTTTAGCCTATTAATATTGGTACTTTAGATAAAACCTGAATCAATCACACATAAAAAATGAACATCCAATGCCCCCTTGATAACCAAGTACCTCAAGTGAGGCATGGGTCAATATGCATCAAGAATGTATACCCGATTAGCTTATTCCTTTATAGTATACAAATAAACTATTAAACAAAATAAATGATCATCATATATAAATAACTCAAGTGTCTTTGTCGTTTCTTGAATGTTAAACAAAGGCATAAGTCTTATGAAACCTCTCATAATAATATTTTTATGCTTATCACACAAGTATCGTTATTCATCATATTATTAATCACTCACATTATTACTGTTAAACCACATTCGGTTATGTAGTGGTTAGAGGTGGTTAAGTAGTTAATCGGTTGTAACAAACTTGAGCCATAGTCTTTAAATAGCTGCTCAATCAATGTATATGCAAATCAGTCTTGAATAACATCTCAATACTCTTTGAGTTCTGTTTGTTGATGCTTCTTTAATACTTCCATGGTGGTTCCAGCAAAGCTATCGCTTAATGATGCTGGTGAGCAGGTTGTTAATCCAGCCTATCGACGGTATGTCAAGCAAGATAGTTCCTTGGCTTATTGGCTTCTTTCCACTATTAGCACCAACATTCTTCCTCAATTGGTTGGTGCTGAATCTACAGCTGCTGTCTAGAATGCCATTACCAGACTTTATTCAACGTTATCCACCACAAAAATAATGGCTTTACATTGTCGCCTTAGATCAATGAAGAAAGGCTCTCAATCTATGAGAGATTACACCATGGCCATTAAAGAAATTTGTGATCTTTTAGCCACGTGTGGCAATCCCATCTCAGACATTGATCACATCGCCACAATTCTTAATGGACTTCCAGTCCAGTATGAACCAATAGTTACTACAATTACTGCGAGCAGAGAATCGTTTGCTCTCGACAATGTGGTATCAATCCTCATTGATGCTGAGTCTCGCCTTGATGACTCCTCAAGATTCCCAATAGGGGTCAACTTCACACGCTACAACACTAATCAGGACTCGGACAAGCAATAGTACAAAAATCGTGGGTCTACTAAGTCTAACACCACGACTAGTAACAAGTATAAGGGGAGACCCAAACAACAATGTCAACTATGTGGAAAGTTAGGCCATCTAGTTGACAGGTGCTGGTACAGGTTTGACCAGAATTTCAAAGGCATAACTGCTCAGCAAAGCTCCTCGACTAATACCATGTAGGCGAACATGTGCTCATATTTCCCTCATGCAACTGACTGTCATTACAGTCCTTTCATAAATACCAACGCTGGAGATGAAGAAACTGTTGATACTGAACCACATGATAATGCACAGGTTAATGCGTTAATGACCAATGGTCCTTTAAGCCATGCTAAATGGTTTCCTGATTCAGGAGCCACTCACCACGTGACTGGCACTACCTCTGCACTCTCGAGCAAACAAGTCTACACTGGCAGTGGTAAGGTTCATCTAGGAGATGGTTCTACCATTTCAATTGCACATATTAGTACAAATATTTTAAAGACTGGTTCTAGAGATCTCTTACTTGATCACATTCTGCATGTTCCAAACATTAATAAAAATCTCCTGTCTGTTTCAAGATTCACTCAAGCTAATTCAGTTTTCTTTGAGTTTCACAAAAATACTTGTTATGTTAAGGATGAAAGCACATGAATTGTGTTGTAGAAGGAAAGCTTGATGGAGAAGTGTTATATAAGCCTCAACAGTATAGAAGTGTAGTTGGGGCACTTCAGTACATCTTCCATACAAGGCCAGATATCTCGTTTGCTGTTAACAAAGCTGCGCAGTTCTTGCAAGAGCCCACTGAGGTTCATTGGCTAGCATTCAAGCGCATTCTGAGGTACTTGAGAGGAACGCTGGAGACTGGCCTCTGGTTTCCTGCTCAAGCACAAAAACTGATGACACTCAATGCCTTCTCGGACTCTGATTGGGGAGGAGATGTTGATGACAGAAGGTCGATCTCTGGCTATTGTGTGTACAATGGGAACCACCTGCTGGCATGGTGTTCAAAAAAACAACGTGCAGTTTCCAGGTCCACTGCAGAAGCTGAATACAGAAGTCTCGCGGATGCCACCTCTGAAGTTGTATGGATCAAGGCTATGCTGCAAGAGATGCATATTGCACTCCCTGGAGAGCCTAAACTGTGGTGCGATAATACCAGTGCAGTAGCTATGGCTGCAAACCCTATATTGCATGCAAAAAGCAAGCACATCGAGCTCGATTTGCATTTTGTACGAGAGAATGTGGCAGCACATGAAGTGCAAATCAATTATGTACCAACCAGTAGCCGAATTGCAAACATACTAACTAAACCTCTTCCCTTAGCCAAATTTGATTTGTTCAAAAGTAAATTGTGTGTCTTTGAGCTAAAGGAGGTTTGTAAGAAACAGGGTGAATGTTAAACCACATTCGGTTATGTAGTGGTTAGAGGTGGTTAAGTAGTTAATCGGTTGTAACAAACTTGAGCCATAGTCTTTAAATAGCTGCTCAATCAATGTATATGCAGATCTGTCTTGAATAACATCTCAATACTCTTTGAGTTCTGTTTGTTGATGCTTCTTCAATACTTAACAATTACTCAATCATATTGTTAATGAGTCCTCGTTATCATGTTTTCATTTATCAACCTATTAATCAATATCACTCGTAATTAGACATCGCACCCTTGAGTCACAACTAATAATCAAGATTCACCATCATTTTATCATTGATGGTGTCGATACCTATATGTGGATATCGATATCATACCTTGAGTATTGATACTAACACATAAGGTGTTGATGTCAAATCATGGATATCGATACGAAATCAAGCCTGGTAGTATCCAAAAAATATCTTGATATAAATACCAAATCCTTGTTATCAATATAAGATGAGCAGTATCGATGCTCTAATAACATGGTATCAATATTACCCTTAAAAATTACCCATATTTTATCCTACAAAGAACAATATCGATATCAGTTAATTTAATATCGATACTTAAACCTAAAAATACTTCACTCGTGAATCACCTTCAAACCCACCCTGAACACTTACTTTCATGTCTTAGTTGATTATTAAAGCTTATAGAAGTACAATAATACAACATTTTTACACAATTTTTCCCATCTTAATTTGTAACGTCCCAGTTGTTCAAGTCAACACATGAGGGTTGACATGAGAGATATGTCAATCGTGTGGAGTTGGAAATTAAAGTGGTTGGGCTGAATATAGGTCTAATTGGATGCAAATTGAGCCTAGTTGACCATAAAATCAGATTTTTTTTATTAGAAAACAAAAGATAAATGACCAAAAACGCAATTATACAATTGAAGGAAAAAGGCTAATTTTTTGGGATTATGTTGAGTGTTTAGGCATGAGATTTTAGGCCATAAAATTGGATGCGAAAGAGTGTGTGTACGTGCGCGCGTTTGTCGTTTTGATTTGATATTTTCACTGTTATCAAACCACGTTGAGCTCTGTAGCTCACCCCATCTCTATTACCCGTCCATGCCGGATCCACTACACTAAATGCATGCATGAATTATTAGGGAGAGCCGTTGCCAACTACGCACGACTTTTCAAAGTGGTTGGCAACAATAGACGATGACATTGATCGATTTCAATAAAAACTATCCAAATAAAATTATTGATAAGGAACAGCGACTCCTTCAGTATCATCGGCATGAGATGATAATTTCGATAGTCACTATAACAATAATTCTACTTCCCCAATTGATTTCTCTCCATTGTCATTTTCTTTTCAACAACATTATTTCCCGAATATATTTTCCTACGATCAAGACATAGTCTACATTGGTTTTGTCGAAAGTTCTTTCTATATTTAACAAAAGGTAGTTGAAGTTAAAACAGTAGAAAGAAAGAAAAAAAGAAGATATATCCATTTCACAACTAAATTGAACTGAAATGAGAAATGTTCAAATTTTCGGTAACGTTTCATTTCAAGAAAAAGAAAAGTTTGATTAATTAGTCCTATTCATTACACGCATTAAACAAATAAAAGGAGTTTTGTTTCTTTATGTAAACCGTCCATGTGATTGATGGACCCATGAAAACTATAAAACAAAAACTCCACCCAAAGACCTTGCTTTTCTTTTCTATATAATTCCTTAATTACAATGTACACCTTCCAACTATGCAATAATTAACATTTCTCAATTCCTGCAATATTGACCTTTCTTCCACAACATATGAGAGGAATTTGCTGTAAAAAAAAGGGACCCCAGTTCCAAAAGTCGAAACTTACTTTACTTGCTCCCCTTTTGGTTATTTGGACTGCCCCTTAACCAAATAATGATACCCTGAAAACCCTTAAGTTAGAACAATTGGACAAATTTAAAGACCCCAAACAATTCTCTTTTTTTATTCTTTTTCCATTGCGGGTAATAAATAAAGAAATGGGTGAAATTTTGAATATAAAAGTGTAGTTGTTGGTTTTATGACCCAAAAGGTGCACGGTGAGGGATTCCTTTTCTTCTCCTTGCATTTGAAGGAGGTGGGGGAGGCGTGGGCGGATAAATGCCTTGTTGTGAGCCTTCACGCAATTCTTCTTCCTCCTTTGGCATCCCTTCTCTTCTTGTTCTATCCATTACCACCTCATTCTTTGCCTCTAAGCTAAAACTTGCATTCCCATTTCTCCTTACTCCTACAAGCTAAGTTCATATTAAAAATGGAAAATCATAATTCAATCCAAAGCAAAAATTATACATACATTGAAAAATATCAAACAATGTGGAGCATGCAAGTTGCTAGGCCAATTAATATGATCTTATGCATTGTGATAATAGCAATGATCGATGATGGTGATGATCAATGTGGTGGTAGTTGTGATGGTGATGCTTTATATATATGTTTGTTGATAGTAATTTATTATTATATGTATGAACCAAACAACTTCGAAGGTTAAGAGATTGTTGTTATCCAATGATGTTCAGAGTTCGAGCACGGCATTTGTAAATGTGTATGATCGTTCATTGTCAAACGGTTAAGAGCCTTTTGAACAATAGTAACTTGAATAGTTCGAAACTAATATAAAAAAACTATGTATATGATGGATTGTGGTGAATGGTGATTGTAAGGTAATGATGATGATTATGAGAAGAAAGCATGAAGAAGGTGAAGTAAATAGAGAATGTAAAACACAATTTACCTTACATCCCAAAGAACAAAAACGAAATGGGTCCAAGAGGCTTCTTCCACAGATTTCACAGATATGAGAAACGCCTTTCCCAGATTTCGGTTGAGGCCTCTCATTAAGAAAAAGAACCCTGGCACTGTTTATCACATAAGTTTGAACCCCACTTATATCCAACACCTTCTGAATCTCAGCAACCCTCACTACATCATGATATGAAGATCTCCTTATCTGCAAAAAGAAACCCAGAACAAGATTTTTGATCATATATTTACCAGAAGAAGAAGAAGAAAGATGTTGATTTTCATACATTGATTTTACCTGAATCACTTGATGATCTTTGTGTTTAAAAGATCGGCAATAGAAGCAAAATGCTTCTCCTTTACAGTCTAAACAATACATGTTACATTCACCCCTACCTACATCTCCATGTGTTCTGCAAACTGTGAAAAAGGCTGTGCTTAGCAGTGACTCTAGCCATGGCGGCACCGGCATTGTCGTCTATCTCCAGAAAACAAACGGATAATAAAAAGAATAATGAGAAAAAGAAACGAAGAACAAGAAAGAAAGAAGAAATATTCGGCATTTACGGCAATGGCATTACCATTGTTAATCAAAGCAAATCAATGGAAGAGAAAAAATTTTGAGATCAGAAGGCAATGAAAGAGAAAGAAAGAAGAAACTTAGAATTCAACCAACAAAGCAAGTGCCTGAACTAAGGGCAAAGGCTCATAAACAAAGGCAGGGAAGTTTCGACGGCGGAGAATAATAGTGGTGGCTGAAGTTTATCTGTAGCCGTCGGATGAATGGACAAGGATGGCTTTGGGGCTTACGCTACTTTTGTTTTTTTTTTTTGTGTCTTTACTGAGAATAAGGGACAATCATTTTACGTCTTTACGCAGACTCGGCACATCCAGCCTTCAATTGAATATTAGTTGTTCACACAAGTTGATCACCACCTAACTTTGTGCCACATGTGCAGCCTTCCACGTGGCTTAATCACCACGGCTGTCTTAAATGAGAGGGTCCCATTGTTTTTAAGATTCTTTTTATTTTGTTTACTTTTTAGATTTATATATCTTTTCTTAAAATTGAGAGATAATGTCCAATGATGATTGCCCTTTTCATAAATTGTAAAGAATTCAGAAAGCAACTATGGATTTTCTATCATTATTACTTCCTAAACATTTTAAATAAAATAATAAAAAGATTTATTATGTAAGTTTAATTATAGTGCGAGGTTCTAATTTTTTTAATTAAACTAAGATGGTTATAACGTAAATCTGTTTTAATACTATGTTACAGTATTGACGTTCAAATTCAAAACATCAAAGAATAATAGTGATTTTTTTAACCCTTCAAATAAATTGATTCGTGCAAAACGAGATCCTAAAATTTAATGTTCACTATTGGAAATCAAATGAAGCCTGGAAATAATAAATATTACTTTGCTAAATAATAATAATAATAATAATAATAATAATAATAAAGTAGGTATGAGTTATGATGGGGAATTGTGTGGTAAAATGTGATGACAAAACAAAGCAGTTGTGTGAAAGGAAAAGAGGAAAGGGAAATGTGATGTTAAGAGCTTTTGTTGATGGACATGAGTAGGAATCAAGGTTGACAAAATGGGAAGGGCAAGCTCTTTTTAGTTGTAAAACATCATTTAAGTTCTGCATGTTATCGTCCAATCATATAATACTCCATGTTACCCTCAGCATCTAGAGCTAAATCAAAATAAATAAATAAACATACCATGGGTTGCCATATGAACCCACATGCCATGCCTCTACTTTTTATTGTTTTTTTTTCATTGATTTAATTTCAATCTCTAAGTGCAAATACCAAAAGATTATTGTCAAAAATATATTTAAGCTCGTGACCTTCCAACGACCAAGAGAGTGACTTTGATTTTGACACTTAAACTCCATAAGCTAAGTAATCTACCGCTATATATTAGTGGCGAGTAAAATTAGATTTGATTAAAAATTTGATTTGAATAAATTTAGTTCATAATTTATAAACTTGGCTCAATTTTTTTTTTTAAATTTAAGTCATTTTATGAAATAACAATTTGAATAATTCAAAATTTTTAGTAATTAGAGAATTTATTTTTAACTTTGAGTCGAACCTTTCAATTATGTATGATGTATATATTTTACATATGGTAAAATGTGAAGAAATGTATATGTATTGTATATTGTTTGCGTGTTGTGAGTACTATAAAATATACGCAAATAATGTGCAAGTATACACAATCGCTCAAGTAATATAATGATGAGTGAGTATCGTCTCCACAGGGATTAGGTGAAATTACGAAAGTCTAACCAAAGCAACGCACTAAATTATCTAAGTATAGTTAGTCTTGATATATACAAATGTCATGGTCATGAAAATGTGTATGCTGGTGAATGTGGATTGATGGTGTGATGGTGTAGCAAATGGAAATACAGTGGCAATGATGGATGTTTAATATTGAGTATGGTGAAATGTCAAGGCAATGAAAAATGGTAAAAACAGTAAATAGAAAGATAAATAAAATAAGAAGAAAATAATCCTCACGTGACAAGCTTCCAATCAAATGAATGGTAAGGATTGGTCTAAGGTTGCTAAACTTATTTCTCAAGTATATTTAAGCTATCTTGTCTTTACTTACTCGACATGGCTTTCCTAAGGTGTTCAAAAGAACCTAACAGAATAGGATGCCAAGGCATCTGCTCTCACTCAACGATGTTGGACAGCCTACCCTATTGATAAAGACACCATTTTTAGTCGTTGAAATCCTATTCTAGTCTCTTCCGAGATCTAAGGGATTAAGTTATAATATTCCTAGGCCGATTCAAAGCCCCTTGAAAATACCATAACCCATTGCTTATGAGGATCTTATCTTGCGTTTCTTCCGAATACTTACAAGTATTTTTAGTTTAGGATTCTTCCGAATACCTAACCTTCATCTAAGAGATGGACATTTCCATGCCTCTTACAAGCCTAGATGGTGAAGCATTCATAAGCAAAGCAAATAAAGAACACAAAATAAACTTAAATATACCCTAAAAAATAAAGTTTAAACAATCGTTCAACCAACCACCACCAAATAAGTTAGTTCATGGTGGGGTTCGAAATATCCAAACACAAAGTCATGAAAATATTCGTTCCAACAACCCACAAATTAATAAAAAAATAGCAGCAAAAGGGAAGTGAGAAGAAGCCTTCGACGCGCCACCAGAGGTCTCCTCTCGGCCACCAAGAACCACCTAGCTCGCTAGCTCCTTCCGGCGCCTAGCTTGCCACTCCTTGGAGCTTTATCAATGGAGGAATATCCCAAGGAAGAAGAAAGGAAAAGAAAATAAAAATGTGATTTTTTTTCTGCTTTATGCGTGTGCTCTCTGTCCCCTTTTTTTCTCTCCCATGAGGTGTCATATATAATAAAAATATCTAGGGGTAATGATGAGGTTGTTGGGTGCAAAATACCCCTCATACCCCTAGAATCACATGTTGTGCATGAACCTTATCCTCCAAGTGGCAGTGGTCCTTTGGCAGCTCTGGCAGGCGGTTACAGCAGTCCTTCACGTGCAGAGACAGCTGTCCAGTGCCAGCTGTCCTCTGCTTTAGCAACGTGTGATGCCGCGACATTACTTCCCAAAGAATCCTTTTTCTTGCTATTCCCTGCACACCATAGACAAACTGCACCTTTCCCTCAAACAGCACCATTAAGAAATAAAATAGCACAACCATCACAAATGCAACTATTTGCAACTACATGATCCTAAAATGACTAAAATGAGCTTTTAAACAAACAATAACTTAAGTGAAAAAGGCTTTAAAAGTAGCCTTTTTAGGAAGTTAACACACCCCCAAACTTAAGCTATTGCTTGTCCTCAAGCAATGGATAGTAGTTACATAAGTGTAATGTCATGGCAAAGTTCAATAGTAAGACAGTAGGACAAAATTGAATTTCAACCCTCAGAACGATAGGCTTCAACATGCTAGACTTATCAAGAATTCAAGTACTTTTCCCTAGGTCAAAATCCTTTGTGGTAGTGTGTGTGCGTGATTGTATCCAATCTATACTTAGCGAATTTAGACAATTTCTAATCAAGTCCCCTAGTTTTTCTCAAGGCATTTACTTATCATTGAGCACATTTTTTACTCACTTTTCTTTGATTGATTTTTTTTAAACTGTTACGAAGGGAGTCAGCTCATCACACCTACTCTTCCACACTCTAGATGAAAGGGAGCATACCTTCCATCCCCGAGCTAGTTAAGTAGAGTCATCCCGTGACTTCTTTCATTCACTCATATGCACAAGGCTTCCATTTATTAAAGAAAGTTCCAGGAAATGCCACGGAAAAGAGGAGTGTCCCTCTACAGCTATGCTTAAGCATTTATTCACAGTTTCATTTCTAAGGGAGTTTGTTTTTTATTTTTCTTTTAATCACCATATTATATTTCAATGCCAAGACTAACTAAAGTTCCTTCATAAAAATTTCCTAAATTTTCTAAGTATAGAAAACATACAAATCGTGTAAATATTTTTCACAGAGCATCAAAGCCCTAGAGTGAGTTCTATCATTCTCAACAGTCATTTACATTCAGATCTAGCCTAACAAAATTATCATCATTGGGCATCCTCAAAACATTTCATCTAACTGTCCTACCATTTACTGATGCCATGGCATAATACTATGCTAATGCTATCATGCATATGACCTACCAAGAACAATACCTCCCCCAAACTTAAGGGAAGCATTGTCCTCAATGCTTTAAAGAGAACTAAACTAACTATAAACTATATGTTATGCAATGAAATGCAACTAAATGAAAATGGATGCAAGAGAGGTACCTCAATGTTTACGTGGTGGTGGTGCTTTGGAGGTGCTAGCAGCTCCTTGTCGGGTGCGCTTTCGGATAGGTGCTGGGCTGGACTCGGAAGAAGTAGAGTAATAGTGCACAATGCGTCCAGCCGTGGTCTTGGTGCGGAGACCACTACGTTGTGCATGAGAAGGATTGGGTGCTGGGACGAGGCTGGGTGTTTCTTCAACAGGGACAGTGGGCAGATATTCAGGAGTCTCGGACCGGTGTGTATCAGGAGTAGGGTCAGCAGCAGGAGGATCGGGTGCATCGTGCTCAGGCTCTGGAGATGCCTCGGCATTGAATGCCGGCAGAATTTCGTCTGGGAAACCAGGGAAATTCCGTTGACCGTGGGGAATAATTTCTTGAAACAACGATTCCACCACAGCATCTCTATGCTTCACGTATCCAAAGAAATTACGGATGTCACTGTGTAAAGCATGCAGTTGAGCTTGAGTCTGCGTCACAGCTTTCTCGAGAGCAAGTAACCTTGCCTCAACATTTGATTCTGTAGTACCTGCAGATTGCTCATGAACAGGATCTTTAGACTTGGGATTTTCAAGTCCCAACAATAGTGGAAGTCTAGCCCTAGTGATGCCCGATAATCCAGGTAAAATTTCATCAAAAGCATTTTCCTCAACCTTTTTCTTACGACATAAAGCGGTAATTAAATTAGGAAACACCAAAGCACTTGCCTTTTTACCCAAACAGTCATGAACTTCCTGAACAATAATATGACCCACATCGATCGGACGGGATACTATCATAGAATGTAAAAGCAATAAGCGTGAAAGTGATACCGTAGTGTTGTGGGAAGTGGGCATTAGTTTATGCTTGAGAAAGTGATTCCATAACTTTGCGCGCGGCTGAAGACGTTCTCGGTTGACCGAGTATCTACTCGTTTGTCGTCCATTCCACTCAATGTTTTCAAAACAAAGGTCCTCCAAGAC